TTGCTAGTTCTCAGCAGCAATGGAGGAGTCTTCTGAAGGCCTGCCCCTTGCTTCTTCTAGAAGGGAGGGGGAAAAGGGGATTCTTAGCAAGACAAAAGAGGATCTGAAAGTCAAGAGAATACTTTACCTTGTAAAATTTTAAAAAGGAAAAATTACAAAAAAAAAAAAAAGAGAAGACAGAGAAAGGCAGACAGAAAGAGACAGAGAGAAGGATAGAGAGGCGCCCTACCACTTGAGACCAGGAGCTAGAGGCTGAATTATCAATAGAAAATCTTCATTTCTCTTATTCCCTGAAACCACTAGTTCTCAGCAGTATTAGAGGAATCTTCTTCTGAAGTCCTGTCCCTTGCCTCTCCACTCAATACTGGGGGCTTGTGGGTGAATTATCAGTAGAAAATCATTCATTTCTCTTACTCTCTGAAATCACTAGTTCTCAGCAGCAATGGAAGAGTCTTCTTCTGGCAGAGGTTTTTCTTTTGGTATTGACTTCATTAGTCCTTATTTCATTAGGATTAAAAATGAGACATAGGGAACCAGCAGTTAGCGTAATGGCTATGTCGCTGGACTCCCACGTAGTCGACCACGGTTCGTGTCCCGGACCCGGTGGCTTAAAAAACTCACGCCGGGCGCGTGTGCGTGCGTGCCCAAGATCCCGAGAGGAGAGTGGAGGAGAAGGGATTGCGGCGTGACCATCCCCCCTGGGGGGTGATTTCTCGCTTTCTGTCTCTATGTCTCTCTCTGTCTGTCTGGCGAGCGCACGCGCCCTACAGTGAAAATCTCTCTCAAAAAAAAAAAAAATGAGACATAGTACTGTGTTTTATGATGCTCAAGTATTTAAGGTTTATATTACTCACTGATAGAAGAAATCTATCAAAGTTTGTTGAGTTCTAATTCTATCCTTTTGTCCCCAGTCTGTGATAGCTTATATTGACATACAGGCTCATAGTAATGGTTCCTTATGGCCATTTTAATTACACATGGCAATTAGATATCCTAGGAAGTTTACCATTGTCAAAAGAATATATATATTGATTGGCCATATAGGATTCAGCTCCCTTAACCATTAGGCCAGGAAGCATGCCCCATCAAATCTTAATATAAGAAAGCATTTCTAAATTTTGCTACTTAATGTTATTAAACAATGCCAATATAATATATATATATTTACTATTATATGATTATAATATACATAATATAGATTATAGAATGTATACATCTATGTGTATATGTATATATTTTAGAGGGATTTTTTGCTATAGGGCATGTGCACTCACCAGAGAGACAGAGAGAGACAGAGAGTCAGAAAGCAAGAAATCACCCCCATGGTGGACGGCCACACTGCAATCCCTTCCCTATTCTCCTCTTGGAATTTTAGGCATGCATGCACACGCACCCAGAGTGAGTTTTAAGCTGCCAGTTTGGGGACTTGAACTGTGGTCAACTACATGGGAGTCCAGCAGCATAACCATTATTCCATCTCCTGGTCCCTATATATATGTTTTTTAATGTGCCAGGGATTGTGAGCCTTTACCAGAGAGAGAGAGAGAGAGACAGAGACAGAGACAGAGAAGGAAAGGGAGAAAGCACTCACAATGGGGTGTGGTAATGTTGTAATCTCTTCTTCTTCCTTTCTCCATCCTGTTGGGATTTTGGACATACACATATGCACCCAGGTGTTTTTCAAGTTTCTTGATCTGGGATTCAAACTCTGTGATTGATCATATAGGATCCAGCTCCCTTAACCACCTGGCCATGAAGCATGTCCCAACAAATCTTAACATATGAAAACATTTCAAAATTTTAGTACTTCATGTTATTAACAATGTCAGGAAACTTGCTGAATTTCTATTTTGTACATATTTTGTTAAAATTGTTCTTGCCAAAAGCTTCAATGACTTCCTCATGTTAAATTGAGTGGCATTTTTCTGTCCACATTTTAATTTTCCCTCTCTGCCATTATTTGATACTTTGACTCCTTCCAAAAAGTCATTCTTTCCTTGGCTTCAAGGTATCTCACCTTTGTGGCTTTCCTTCTGCCTCTCTAGCCATTCTTTTCAGTCGCTTCATCGTTCTCTCTTCTACCATTTCTGTGAATCTTGAGTTTTCAGAGTCTGATGTTAACACTTTCTTGACTCTACCCACTCTCGTCAAGTCAGTCTCTTTGATTTTTTTCCATCATTTAACCAGGTTTACATCTCTGGCCCAGATCGCTCTCCTAATTTTAGATTCATATATTCAGCTGCTTATGGGAGTCTCTGTATGCCTTTATAGGCATCCTAAATGTAAGGTGTTCTGAAACATAAGCTAGCCCTCCTCAACCAGTCTTGTTCCTCATCTTTTGTTCCCAGTCTAAGTGATACTATAGCTATCAAAAATAACAAAAAAAAACAAAAAAAAACAAAAAAAAACAAAAAAAAACAAAAAAAAACAAAAAAAAACAAAAAAAAACAAAAAAAAACAAAAAAAAACAAAAAAAAACAAAAAAAAACAAAAAAAAACAAAAAAAAACAAAAAAAAACAAAAAAAAACAAAAAAAAACAAAAAAAAACAAAAAAAAACAAAAAAAAACAAAAAAAAACAAAAAAAAACAAAAAAAAACAAAAAAAAACAAAAAAAAACAAAAAAAAACAAAAAAAAAAACCCAAAACTCTCAGTGTTTTTAACTCTACCAATCATTTATACTTTGCATTTAACTAAGTACATAATTTTATATTTTCTTTTTCCTTACTATAACCGAAAATAATCTATTTATCCTCCTCTATCATTACCTAATCTTTAAAGGTTGAATTTATAAATTTACTTTATTGATGGCTGTATTTCCCAAACTGTTGTTCCACAGAGTATTAGTTCCATAGGATGTTAAATGGTAATCTACATAAAATCAGTGTTCCGTAGCCAAATAAGTTTGAAGAATGTTTCCTATCACTGTTTCCATCTCAGCAATTCACAGAGAACATGAAGCATTAAGAAATACTGCAGTAAAGCAACACGTTTGCATTCAGGGAACACTCTCCCACTTTTTATGGAAAGTTTTAAATATATTGCTTTCATTGCATAGTTTGGAACATTCTTACATAGGATATAAAGTAAAGAGAAAACTCATTTTTCTCCCAAGTAGTCAATTTTCCTGTCAACATTTATTGAATAATCTCTTTCTTCTCTGCCTGTTGATGGGGTTTCATTAATCATATATTAAATTTATAAATACCCTAAGATCTCGCATAGAGCTGTTGACTCTTGGACTTTTATTTATTTTTGATATGGGACATCTGCCCGTATTTTTTGAGGGAGGCCAATTTGAATGCAGAATAAACCATCTTTATTAGTTAAAGTTGTATACACCCACCTGTCAAAAGTATGTTCTCCCGCACTATATTTGAGGCCAAGTGAGTCATCAATCATGGAGTTCTCGTGAGGAAATTTGGGTGGGTGGTCAGACTTGCAGGAGTACTCACTTAATGTTGTAAATGACCACATCCTTGGCATGTAAATGAGCCGGGGCTGTATCCTCTACTCTTTATTTTCTGGGTGATAAAGGTGATGGTATTTAGCATCCTGAGGTTAGTCAAGATTCAATTTTAAGTCAGATGTACCTGGAAACTTGTCCATACTTATTTTCCTTCAGAATGTTCTGGCTTTAATACAATTATATTTAAGCAACTTGAAATTATAGAATTAGTAACATTTCGTCCTGAGCTGCAGTTTTTTTAATTGATCCAACTCTGCTGACCTGGAACTGTCAGCAAACAGGTACATTTGTGTTTACACAGTTATGAAGAATTCCTTCCTTCCTTCCTTCCTTCCTTCCTTCCTTCCTTCCTTCCTTCCTTCCTTCCTTCCTTCCTTCCTAGTTTTGCTATAGGATGTGTGCACTTGCCAGAAAAAGATACATAGAAAGAAAGTGAAAAATAGCCTCTGGTGGATGGCTACAAGAAATCCCTTCTCCATTCTTCTCATGGGATTTTGGGCATGCAGCATACACACCTAGTATGTTTTTCAAGTCACTGGTTGAGACTCTAACTGCACAGTAGGTCATATGGAATCTAGCTACCTTAACCTTCATGCCACCTACTGGTCCCATTTTATTTTTTTAATCAAAATATCAGGTTGGTTAGCCCACATTTTGGACACCTAGAACCCACACTTTAGATACTCAGATGATGCTAAGGTCCTTTTCAATTCCGATTCTGTGGTATAGTATATATGTGGAAGTGTGACAGACTTCTTAGGAATAAAGAAAGTCAAGCAGAAAACACAAACATTTATATATGTAAATAGGTATCTGGATGGAAAAAAATCATAATGTTAGTAGGGGTTACAGAAGGATGGTGGAATGTTGCTGGGTGTTCTTTTTTCCAGATCCACTTTGCACCTTGTACTGGCCCTAGAGAATGACTAGGGAAGCCTATGTCCTTGGTCTTCCTCCTCTGCCCTCTGATTTCTGGTTGGGTTTGGCCAGTAGAGAACCCCAGACGGAGGATGGAGTTACCTGTTCTTCTGGCTTCTTACTTGCAGAATTGTTTTGTACTGGCCAAAACCCCTAGCTGACAGTCACAGCTTGTCTTAGTCTCTTTGAGCTGCTGTAACAAATAACTGTAGACTCAGTGGCTTATAAACAGCTGAAACTTATTTCTCACAGTTCTGGAGTCTGTAAGTCTGAATTCAGGGTGCCAGCATGGTTGTGTTCGAGTGAGGGCTCTCTTGCAGATTTCCAACTGCCATCTTCTTGTTGTGGCAGAAGAGAGCAGAAGAGAAGGAAGGAGGTCTCTTTTCACTGCGCTTGTCCTTTGAGGTCAAAGGGAGTGTGACAGTTTCTAGACCAGCTGTGCTTCATGCTCCCTGGTGATTTCCCTTCACCATTTCTATAGATACTAGTGATCATTTCCCAAATAGTTCACCATCAGATCAGGATCCAGGTCTTCAATTAAAGCAAGGTTGATTGCTGTTGGTTAGCTTTTGGCCAAGTGGGTGCGCACACTTACATGTTGTTTTTCTCTTAGATCCGAGAGTTGAAGATTGGCTCCTCATGTCCTCGCCTCTGCCACAAACCATCATCCTGGGAATCTATGTCTATTTTGTCACTTCTCTGGGACCAAAGCTCATGGAGAATCGAAAGCCCTTTGAACTCAAGAAAGCGATGATAACGTACAATTTTTTCATAGTACTCTTTTCTGTGTATCTGTGTTACGAGGCAAGTGTCTTCAGTATTCCTAATGGGAAAAATTTCCCTGAGTCTTCCTGTTTACCTGTCATTATGTTTTCTGTTATAACTCTCTGGTAACCCTTTGAAAATTAAGGAATTTGACAAACTGAGCTCACCAGAGCAGATATTTCTCAAAAAATTATGTATAGACCAAACAATAAACTCCTTAGAAGATTTCAGGATCAGTAGTGAGAAAAATGAACATCTAGTCTACAGATTTGCACATAGTTACCCTTAATGGATGATTGAGTGAGTCCATAAATGTTAGGTTTTAGGAAACACATACTTGGAGAAATTAACTTTCTCAAGGTAACATAGCTTTTAAGTGGAGGACTGATATCTAAATCCATGTTCATCTGACATCATAGTTTGTTCTGACTCTCTAATGAGTCATCATCATCATACTGAGAACTTCTGGTGTCTGCATCTCTGACAAGATGACAATGGTGGACTACTTTGATTTAGAATGTTTGAGATTTGGGAAGGGACATAGACTCATACAAATCAGTAGATGAGGGAGCCTGTCACTTAATTGTCACCAACAGAGATCAGAATCTTCCAGGACTCAAATGCAGGTTCCTGAATTATCACTCTCCCCTTCTGCTCTTATCACATTTTAGCCACCTTCGTGTATCTGCTTTTCTGGGATTCTTTGTTTCTTTTCTAACTCTGGCTGGATTCCTTATCCTCATTTTTTTTTTCTACTTATTTTATAGCACAGGTATACTTAGTCATAACTGGGTCTCACAAGGACTCAGCATTGCCCACTGGACTCTCTTGACACTATTGTCTCTCCAAATGCATCCTCCCAACCTTATTTCTGCTGCACATCCTTCTGATGAGATTACCTTAAATATACTCTGGTTTGGGCCAGCAGGTGGCATGGAGGTCAAGGTGCTGCATTCCCACATGCCCAATTGTGATTCAAGTCCTGGACTCAGAAGCTTGAAAATCGTGCTGGGTACATGTGTGTGCATGCCCAAAATCCCAAGAGGAGAATGGAGGAGAAGAGACTGTGGCATGGCTCTTCCCCCTGAGGGCTGATGTCTCACTTTCCCTCTCTCTGTCTCCAGTAAGCGCACAAGCCCTATAGCAATAACCTAAAAAAATTAAAAAAAAAATTTTCAAGGGATCAGCAGATGGTGTAATGGCTACCTCGCTGGACTCCCATGTAGTTGACTGCAGTTCACGTGTTGGACCTGGTGGCATAAACTCATGCCGGGCATGTGTGCATGCTTGTCCAAGATCCTGAGAGGAGAATTGGGGAGAAGGGATTGCAGCGTGGCCATCCCCCCTAGGGGGTGATTTCTCACTTTCTGTCTCTCTGTCTTTCTGGTGAGTGCACAAGTCCTATAGCAAAAACCTCTCAAAAAAAAAAAGCCTTTAGCACAAGCCCCCCTGTAGTCTGGATTAATTCTACTGCCTCCCATTTCTTCCCATTTCTTTCCAAAATTAACTGGCAGCCCATTCTTAATCACACTCTGGAGTATAAGCACCTGAAAGGGAAAGGGTAATGGAGATGGGAACAGAGAAACTGCTCTTAGCATGTTCTCAGAGATAGGAGATAGCATGTTACAGTACCATGTTAAGAACATATTTAGAAGCCAGGAGACAGATACTGATTAGATCTGGTTCTACTAATTAACTGCCAGACTTTTTTTTAAAGTTTATTTATTTGTTTCTTCGGCAAGAGAAAGATAAAGAAGAGAGGCATCCCCAAAAGGGTCTTCATGCTATGATCCACCATGAGCTTTGGTCAGCCAGGATTATGGGCATGCACACACACTCGACATGTACAGGGAGATCTCAGGTTGCAAACCCAGGACCTTCCCATATAGCTTCTCCATTGTGGAGTGTTGCATTAAAACTATGGCACTGTGGCTGGCCGTAACTGCATGATTTTGAGCAAGGCACTTGACCTCTCTGGACCTTAGTTATCTCTCTTTCTCTTTTGTTTAGTTTTTTGCTATCAGGTACATGTGCTCACCACAGAAAGAGAGAGAGGGGAAAGTCAGAAATCAGCCTCCAGTAGGGGTGGCCACACTGTAATACCCTCTCCTCCATTCTCCTCTAAAGAGGAATGTACCCACACACACCTAGTGTGTTTCTTGAGCCACTGGGTCTAAGACTTGACCTGTGGAGTCAGCCATGTGAGATACAGTGCCCCACCCGCCATGCCACCTACTGGCCCAGTTGTTTCATTTTTTAAAAAAAGTTTACTTATTTATTTCTTCTATAAGTGACAGAGACAGAAAGTGAGAGAAAAAGCACCCTCAACAGGATCCTGCCACCACAGCCTCAGATCATGGGCACAGACACACGTGGCCAGTGTACCCAGAGAGGTCTCCAGACATAAACCAGAAACCTACTCACGTGGGATTAATTTGCATTCTACTGCTCTGCTATCATCAAGCCCCCTGTCTCCCCTTTAATAAAGTCAGAATTGAACCAAATGATTTGTCAGTTCTCAGCAGATCCCTTCATGTCTGGTATTTTTCAGTTGTGTCTGATTGTGTCAGTAATTGTGAGTCTCCAAATACATTTCTTAGACTTGGGATGAATTTAATTATAACCAGTCAGTTTCAATTCCTACATCATAAACTACAATATAAAAGAAGGTTTGAAATGATCCAAATTTCAGAGTTATATCTCCCATTTATTACAAATAATTGAGGTAGTTACATGTCAGTTTCAAGGTTTATTACCTGCCAACTATAAATTATCATTTTTTCTTATTGCTAGCCTGAATGTAGACATAAATGTCAAAGGCTCCATGGGCTGTTGGGATGTTTTTAAGCTTCATATCAGGAAATGTAAGTTTTACTCTCCATTTAAACAAAGACTTTGAGTAACCGAGCAGGTATGCCATCTGCCGATGGAACAGCCAAACACATGGTTTATTGTGTGCAGCATGATTTCGTTTGGTCTTAGAGTAAACACCTGCCCAAGGGAAGTTAAGCCAAAACTGGACAAGGTAGAAGCACATCAGACTAAAGGAACTCAGATGCCTTATGTCTAGTGATTGTCTGAATGTGCTAGTTATTGACATCAGTGAAATACTAGCAAAGAGAGATCAGTCAAGACTCAACAGAAGGCCAAGTCACATAGTGTCTTCTATTCAACAGAGCATCTTGTTTAAGGAAGGGTAAGGCAGAGAATTAGTCATCTTTTACGTAAATAGCTCCCGTGCTTAGAGTGTGACTCTGACTTACTAGAGTCAGTCAGAAATGAGTCTGAGCACAAGAGAGGATGAGGACACAACACAGACAGGGTAGGATTTTGTAAAACAGAATTAGCTGTTTCTGTGGCACATTCTCTTGTTCCACTGGGAAAATCTATTGACTGGTTTTATTCCCATTTATGACATGTTTATTTTGTACTTTTCTCAGTTTTAGTTTTCAATATCTCATAACATATCAAGTTTCTGGTGTGATTAAATTATCTTACAAGTCAAACTAGGAGCTAGTGTCAGAAAAGGATGTTTTAATTTTAAGTATTTAATTTTTAAATTAATCATTAAATCATTATTGTTTAATTTTCTATAGGGCATGTGTACTCATCAGAGACAGACAGGGCCAGGTAGTGATGCAGTGGATAAGGTGCTGGACTTTCTATGGCAGAGCCATGGTTAGAGTCCCAGACCTGGTGGCTTGCTCTCTCACTTTCTCTCTCTCACTTTCTCTCTCTCACTCTATCCCTCTCTGATCAAATTAAGATAGATAGATAAAATTAAGTTTAATAAAATAATTCTTTAAAAAAAGAGAAAACCTCACCATCAGACTGAAAGAATCTCAATATAATCTTTGAATTACAGTTCAGACTTATCAACAATAGACTTTTTCTTTTCTCCACTCATATAAGGTCACTTTGTGGGTGTATTGGAATTAAGGTCTGCCAGATTGCGCTCTTGTTAATAAAAGTATTTTTCTCTTTCTTGTGTTATAAATTCAAAGCCAAACTCATATCTAGGTCTTACATGTGGTCAGTCTTTAAAGGCAAATGAGAACCCCTCCCCTATGGGGATGGTCATACCATAATCCCTTCTCCTTCTTTTTCCCTTTTGGATCTTAGGCACACATGTACATGTGCCCAGGCATGTCATTCAAGCTGCCGGGTACTACGGTTGGTCATGTGGGATCCAACCACTTTAACCACCATGCCTCTGTCTGGGCCGGGCTATTCCTTTTAAGAGTATACAAATACATACACTCGCATGTGAGGACTTCTGAAGGTTTGTGGCAAAATGGAATTCAAATGCAAGTTAATTTTGGTGTCAAAAAATTTGGAAATCCTGGCCCAGCCCCAGTGGTGCAGTTGGTAGCAGTTCTGAACTGCAGTGGGAAGCCACATGGCTGATCACAGGTTTATATTCTGACTTACCTTGAAGCAGATAGACTGACTAGCTGGAGAACTAGGAGAAGGGAGTATAGTGTGATAAGACCCTGTTGAGGGTCTCTCAATGTCCTATTTTTCATTGTATTAGAATGATCATCCCAAGAAACAGGCATTTTAGTCAAAACACAAGGTTATATAATTAGTATATGAGTTTGAGGTTTTGAAGTTCAGGATATCAAGCTTTGATATCAATTGTATTCTTGGTCTATAATTGTTCTCAATGCCTTTTCCTTTGCACTATTGGCTGACTCAGCTGATAATGTATTGAATAGTCACAGTCAAAACTCCCTTTGTTGTAGCTGTTGAGCTCTCTTCTTTAATATGCATGTGATCTCTTGCAGTTTGTGATGTCTGGCTGGGGTACAGGTTATTCATTTCAATGTGAAATTGTTGACTACTCACAGTCACCCACAGCTTTAAGGGTAAGTTTCTCCTTAAAAAAAGCTTGCAACTCAAAATCAGTGTTAAAACTTTTTACACTCTGTTTGCTGCATTGGATATGAACTCAGAATGAGTAAATGTCTCTATCAGATTATAGACCTTCAGGGAAAGAAAGTCAATAATTTCAAGAAAATAGTCAAAGAAAGTCAGGTGTGTAGTTTTCTGTAAAATGGAAAATTGGTGTTTTTCTTTTTGAGTTTATTGTATTTAAAAATAAACTCATACTTAGTCAAAAAATTAAAAATAGAATTACCATAAGATCCAGCAGTTCTACTTCTGGATATAGATATATGTATCTGAAAAAATGGAAAGCAGGGACCTAAAGAGCTATTTGTACATTCCTGCCCATAGCAGCATTATTCTTGGTAGCCAAAAGGAGTTGTCCATGGATTGATGCATGGATAAACAAGGTGTGGTATACATAGAATGGAATATTATCAGCCTGTGAAAGGAAAGGGATTCTTTCCCATACTACAACATTGGTAAACTTTGAGGACATTATGCTAAGGGAGGTAAGCCAGTCACAAAAAGAAACATACTGCATGATTTGGCTTTTATGAGGTACTTGGAGTAGTCAGATTCAGAGAGCCAGAAAGCAAAATGGTATCTGGGCCTGCAGGGAGAGAAATTATTGTTTAATGAATATGGACTTTCAGTTTCATAAGTTGAAAACATTTCTGTGGATGGATGGTGGCGTTGGTTGCAGAACAATGTGAATGTGCTTAAAATAGTCAAAATGGCAAATTTCATTTTATGTATTTTACTAAAATTTTTAAAAATAACTTTTTTCCATGTAAAAAATAAAATTAATTCTTATCTATGTGTGTTTCTGCAGATGGCACGTACCTGCTGGCTTTATTACTTCTCCAAATTTATTGAGCTGCTAGATACTGTGAGTATGTAGTCCCACATTTGGAAAATGGAAGCAATAAACTGCTATCGTTCAGTTGTGTGATAACTTTATCTCTCTTCCTCTAGCTGACCTACTACTATCTTTTTTATCTTTTATTATCAACAGTTTTAGAAACTAGATAGGATAAGCTCATGTGTTCAGTGTTTCACAAATTCTAGAAGGTTCTTTATAGAGCTACCAACTGATCAAGATTACTATGCTCTTGTCACATGTACTACAAAACTGCATCTTTAAGTAGATGGAAGACAGTTGTTTTTCACCAAAGATCAGAGAACATCTTACCTTTGGTTCTTTATACCGAAGTACCATGTCATCCTTATGCCTTTAAGAGATGTTCAACTAGAATAATAAGTTGCCCCTGGCATACCAGTAATTTTGGGAACACCAAATTTACTCCAGCTGCCTTTCTTGTCTTCTTTCTTTCTTTCTTTCTTTTTTTTTTTTTGAGAAGTTTTTGCTATAGGGCACATGCACTCATCAGAAAGACAGAGAGACAGAAAGTAAGAAATCACTCCCCAGGGGGGATGACCACATCACAATCCCTTCTCCTCCATTCTCCTTTTGGAGAATGCACATGCACACGTGCCCAGCATGAGTTTAAGCCACAGGGTATGGAACTCAAACCACCGTCAACTACATGGGAGTCCAGCGCTGTAGCCACCTGCTGGTCCCCTCCAGCTGCCTTTTTAAAGTATGTTCTTACTGGGCCCCATGTCTTCTTACTTTAGACTGTGTGAGGATCAACTCAGAACTTGGCTTACTAGGTCCTGGCTAAAGCATATAACTTGAATTTGGGGCCTCTGATGAGAGGAGAAAGCCATGAGCCTTTGTTTCCATAGCAGATCGGGAAAACTGATAGTACACCTTGGTGGCATACATATTTTAGAAATTTGGAAAAATAACTGGCTCTGAGACTGCTAAGTGTGTTGTCTCTGGAATATATCCACATGCAGCACCATGCTGCCACCTTCCATGTGCATATACAAATGTATTTGGCTTTATTGTTTCTGCTTTGCGTGTTCTCAGTTCCAGTGCCTGTAAGGAAACTGTTGCTGTTTCTCTCCTTTCCAAAAATGCATTTCTCAAATACTTTTATTAATACTTTTCTTTCTACTATTCTCTTTAGTTCCATTTTTAAAAGTCTAACTCAGCACTGATATTCTAAATTTTGCTTTGGGATATTTTTTGACCATCTCAACCCCACCCACAAAATTCTACTCTTCTCTTTGCAGAGTTTCTGTAAAGCATTGAGCACATTCAATCTGAATGGTGACTTCATTGTTCTCATTTTCTCTATGTAGCTTTGCTTTCTCTTCTATCTTATTTGTCAAATTGACTCTTCAAATATTGCCTTCTTAATTTTTTAAACAATAATTTGCTTACTTAATTTATTGCAGGTCCTCTCTCAGTTTGTCTAATCCCTTATCCAAATTGGTAGGACATGTTGGAAAGCAATGTAGAATAATTTCAGTCATAAGAATGGGGCCAGCCCATGGCATGGTGGTTAAGGTGGCTGGATCCCACATGGCTGGCTGTGCAGTTCAGGATCCAAGCCCAGCAGCTTGAAAAAAACATGCCAAGGCATGTGTGCATGGGTGCCCAAAGTCCCGAAAAGAGAGAGAGGTGAAAGAGGAAGGATTGTGGCATGACTGTCCCCTATGAGGGATACTTTCTCATTTCCCCCATCCTTTTCTTTGTCTGTCTCTCTCTGATACACCCACTCTCTGGCCAATTTAAAAAAAGTATTAAGATGTTTTTGCTTTCCCATATGCTTAAAAATTTACTAGAATTTGTTTATTTATTTTACAAAATAGCATTTTCTTTTAATAATTTTTGGCTACCTTCTTTATATATTTTTAAAATATATGTAACATTTTTTACCTTTTAATCAGTTATTTTATTCCTAAGCATCTTATCTAAGCTTCTCCATGCTAATAGTTAGTTTTTGATCTGTCCTTTGGGAAATCAGCTGCTTCTTAAACATTCTATAAGGCAACCCCTTGATGCAAATTATGGTGTGAAATCATGGACACTTGGCCAATATTTTTGTAATATTGAGTAAATTATTGTATAATTTTAAATAAACTTGCTTTTCTTTAAATTTTTCAGATCTTTTTTGTTCTACGTAAGAAAAATAGCCAAGTGACTTTCCTTCATGTCTTCCACCATACAATCATGCCCTGGACCTGGTGGTTTGGAGTCAAATTTGCTGCAGGTAGTCAAGGGAAAGTTGGGGTCATATGTTATAAGTGGTAACATTTCTGTGATGAAAATTTTATTCTTAGACCAGCTGTGGTGGCGATGCAATGCTCTGTGATGCAGAAGCCATATGAAAAGGGCCCAGGTTCACATCCTGAGACCTTCCTGTATACTCCAGATCACATGTAGTTGGTCCTGACTAGCTAAGGCTGTTGGTGTTTTAAAAATATATCGAGGAGGCAAGGGGCAAGCCTTCAGAAGAAAATTCCTCCATGGCTCCTGAGAACTAGTGATTTCAGAAAAAAGAGAAATGAAGATTTTCTACTGAAAATTCAGCCTCCAGCCCACAAACTCGAGTAAAGAGGCAAGAAGCAGGCCTTCAGAAGAAGATTCCTCCAATGGCTCCTGAGAAAAGCTATGTGGTTTTCTGTTTTTTTGCTTTTTTAAAAAATAATAATTTTTAGTTGTTTTTTATTTTCTTTTTTTCTCTGTTTCTTTGTTGTTGTTTCTCTCTCTCTGTTTCCTTTTCTTTTTCTTTTATCTCATCTCTCTGCTTCTCAATCTCCATTCACTGTGTTTCTAGACAGATCTAAGGAAACTACATGCAAACATCCAAATACTATTAGGGTTAACATATTCCTCAATATCTACTGAATCTGCTGTGCAAAGGGATCAAAACAGAACAGCAAAGAGATTCCAGACCACCTCTTTCTGTATGCTCCTGAAAGCTCATATTGAACTTATAAGTTTAGGAAGAAACATATCATCCATCAGATGATTAGAAATCACCACAGGGTCATAAGAAGTATGGGAGAGCAAGAAAATACCTTTCCTCCAAGGGAAAAGAATAACTCCTCTTCATCCATAAAAATTTCAATGGGAATCATGGAAATGTCTGATAAAAAATTTAGAATATTTGTAATGGTGAAGCTAACAGAGGTGGAAGAGAAGAGAGACAATGAATTGCAGAAGAGAAAGGAAAAAGATGACGAGTTCCAGGAGGTGAGAAAATTCTTGCAAGATCTAAAAGAGGAATTACACTCTTTTAAAAAGAATCAAAGGTACCTGTTAGAGATGAAGGCTATAATACAGGAAGTCAAAATCTCCCTTGAAAGTATTAAAAGCAGACTAGATCATAGAGAAAATAGAATCTCAGGCATAGAAGAGAAAATTGCTGGCCTAGAAAAATCCACCATGAAGACTGAGAAAATTGCCCCCCAAAATGAAGACAATATACGCGAAATACTAGATACCATCAAACCTCCAAACATTCAGATAATTGGTATCCCAGAAGGCGAAGAGACTCATAAGGGCATTGATAATCTAGTCCATGAATCCTGCAAGAAAACTTTCCAAACCTAGAGAGGCACTCAAAGATCCAGGTCCAAGAAATACAAAGGACCCCAAGTAGAATCAACCCCGGAAGATCTTCTCCCAGACACAGTACAGCCAGATTGACCAAAACCACAGACAAAGGCAAGATACTAAGATTGGCAAGAAAAGGAACCAGCAGTTAGTGTAATGGCTATGTCGCTGGACTCCCACGTAGTCGACCACGGTTCGTGTCCTGGACCCGGTGGCTTAAACTCATGTCGGGCACGTGTGCGTGCGTGCCCAAAATCCCGAGAGGAGAATGGAGGAGAAGGGATTGCGGTGTGGCCATCCCCCCTGGGGGGTGATTTCTCGCTTTCTATCTCTCTGTCTCTCTCTGTCTGTCTGGCAAGCGCACGCGCCCTATAGAAAAAAAAAAAAACCTCTCAAAAAAAAAAATAAAAGATTGGCAAGGAAAAAAAAAATGGCAAGTTACCTACAAAGAATATCCCATTAGACTAACAGCAGACCTCTCATGGGAAACAATGCAAGCGAGGAAAGAATGGGAAAATATATTCAAAGGGTTAAGGGAAAAACAATTTCAACCAAGAATACTGTACCCAGCAAGATTATCCTTCAGATGGGAAGAAAAGACAAGAACCTTCTCCATTAAACAAAACCTGAAAGAATTTGCCAGCACCAGAACAGATCTCCAAGTAGTTCTCAAGGGAATGCTATATTAGGAAAATTAAATACAGACACACAGAAATAAGAGTTCAAAAACTAAGAAAATGGCTGACTTAATCATAAGAACAAGTCTGGCAAAAAAAAAACCTCTCCAAAAAAAAAAAAAATTTTTTTGCTCATACACCATAGTTCTTGACAGTTAACTTTCAAAATTTCATAATATTTAATATTTTTAATGCATTTTTTTTTAATTTCAAGAAAAACAGTTTTAGAGGTTTTCTTTTTCTGAAACATTTTTAAAAATCAATTAATTTACATTCATTCCCTAAGCATTGTTACAACATACAAAATGTGATTTCCCATCCAGAATATACTGCATAGTGGCTTAATCATGCATGTTATCATCAATAATTTTCCATTTCTAGTTTCACATAAATATATGAAATATATACATATATATTTCAAATATATATATATATATATATATATATATATATATATATATATATATATATTTGAAATATATATGTATATATTTCATATATTTATGTGAAACTAGAAATGGAAAATTATTGATGATAACATGCATGATTAAGCCACTATGCAGTATATTCTGGATGGGAAATCACATTTTGTATGTTGTAACAATGCTTAGGGAATGAATGTAAATTAATTGATTTTTAAAAATGTTTCAGAAAAAGAAAACCTCTAAAACTGTTTTTCTTGAAATTAAAAAAAAATGCATTAAAAATATTAAATATTATGAAATTTTGAAAGTTAACTGTCAAGAACTATGGTGTATGAGCAAAAAAATTTTTTTTTTTTTTGGAGAGGTTTTTTTTTTGCTATAGGGCACGTGTGCTCGCCAGGCAGACAGAGAGAGACAGAGAGATAGAAAGCGAGAAATCACCCCCCAGGGGGGATGGCCACGCAGCAATCCCTTCTCCTCCATTCTCCTCTTGGGATCTTGGGCACGCACGCACACGTGCCCGGCGTGAGTTTTAAGCCACCGGGTCTGGGACGTGAACCGCGGTCGACTACGTGGGAGTCCAGCGACATAGCCATTACATTAACTGCTGGTCCCAAGAACTATGGTGTCTGAGCAAAAATTTTTTGATATGTAAAGTAAATGTTTGTAGAAAAATGTATAAATAAATAAATGGAAAAAGGAAAAAAATGTATCAAATTGCAGTTATCCCAACATCCCAAAGCAACCTACTATATTAAGGATGTTTTGAAAGTGTTTTTTAGGTAAAAAATAATTTTAAACAAAAGGTTGGCAACCAGACTCTTTTGTTTCCTTTGGGTTTTATGCTTCAAAACGTCTAGGATTAGAGAAAACAGGAAGTAATTTTATCCAGTCATAAAGTTTTAAATAACTTATATCCCCAAGACATATTCTTATCTTAGCAAAGTTTGGTTGGGGAATTTGTTTCTTTTACTTTCTTAAATTTAAGTCTTCAAATAGACCAGAAGACCAAATTAAACAGTGCTCCAACATGTCTGAGTGTCTCACTTTTGTTGGGCATTCTGACTCTAGACTGAAAGAAAAGTTCTATAATTGAGGGCTCTTATTTGAAATCTAGACCCTCTAGGCATGGAAGGGTCTGCATATCTCAGAGCCAGAGAGAACATGGATAAACCGGGGGCAGGAAGATGTCAGAACCTAGAGGAACCACAAGGGCTGTCAATATAGGCAGAGGGCTAGGCCTACTATGGCCACAGACACTGAATTTTCCAGAACCTTGCCCACAAATGGCATTTTTCTGTTGAGGAACTTTTTGAAGTAAATGTAGCTCCTTTTTAAATTATATATGTTGATACAAATTTTTAACTCACTTTGTAACAAGGGTCTGCCAGTCCATTTCTCAGATGAAAGGTAACTATGTTATTTAATCTCCATTATTTTACTTATTCTTACTTTCTGTTTTTGTTTCTCTAAAATGCATGTTGTGCCTTTCAATTCTTTCTGTAGTGATATACCTTGACAACTTATTTGTGTTGACCAAAAATCGGGAATTGTCCAGACATCCACAAGTAGACTAGCTATGATTTTTTTGTGTATATATATATACACAAAATGCAAATGCAATTGAGATTAGCTCAGCTTCTCTGCTAAGCAATTTGACTCCTAAATGATCAGAAAGAGATGACTTTCTGTTTTGTTTTGTTTTTGCTATAGGGCGCTGTGCGTGCCAGGACAGAGAGGGAAAGTCTCCTCCATTCTCCTCTCGGGATCTTGGGCACGCACGCACACGCGCCCGGCGTGAGTTTTAAGCCACCGGGTCCGGGACACGAACCGCGGTCGACTACGTGGGAGTCCAGCGACATAGGCATTACGCTAACTGCTGGTTCCCAAAATTAAATAATTTTTTTAAAAAAGATCTAAATCCTGCCCAAACTTATACAATCTCCAGACCTGTGTTCTGTGACTTTGATCACACTTACTTGGAATGTTTTTGTTTGTTTGGTTTAGTTTTGTTATAGGGCATGTGCACCTGCAAGCAGTTGTAAAGAGAGAGTGAGAATTCACCCCCCAGGAGGAATGACGATACCACAGTCCCTTCTCCTCCAATCTTCTCTTGGGATTCTGGGCATGCATGCGCATGTGCCTGGCATGTCTCTCAAGCCACTGGGTCCAGAACTTAGACTGAGCAATAGACCATGTGGGATCCAGCACTTTAATTGCCATGCCACCTGTTGGCCCATGAGGTGACTTTTTTATTTTTGAAGTATGCTATTGATAGAAAAGATGCTTTTATAGGCTGGCCCCATAGTAATAGTTAAGGGAGCCAGATTGTACATGACCAAGCACAATTCAAATCCTGGCACCTGTAGCTTAAAAAATATGCCAGATGTGTGCATGAATGCCTGAAATACCAACAAGATGGATAAGTAGAGAAGGGATTGTGGCATGACCCCACCCCCACTGGGAGTTGCTTTCTCTCTCGTGCTTCCTCTTTCTTCCACTCTGTTGAGTGTATATGCTCTCTAGAAATTAAAAATAAGAGGAAAGAG